TTTGGACATGTACAAGCCCTGCAAAGAATGGTTTTTGTTCTGTTGGGGAAGAGAGCACTGCACAGAGTTTATAGGCACACCGCACACATTTGATTATACCTGGACGGCACATTTATCAATTCTCAAAAACCCGAAATGAGCAGATTCCCGCCATGTAAATGAACAGCTGGACTTTGCCTTTAATTATGGACTAGGGATTGAGTGCTCACAGCCGTGGAAGATCACATATACAACTCTGTGCGCAAATCAGTAGTATACATGTACCATGGCTTGCAGCAATAGCAGCAGCATACAAGTATACACCAAAATTAATGCGTAAATTCTTGCGGGAGAGTCACTTGGTAATGGGCAGAATTAGAATCTGTACAGTCATTCTGACGAAGAAATCTACATGTATGTTATTGAATGCACTCAAATGAGTGTCCAACCCCAGATAATTGGACGTCAATTTAAAATCAACAAGTGAAATTCTACGATTCTACTTCATTTCGCTTACGGGAAACGCGTCGCGAAAAAGTCGGTCTGAGAAAGCCGTCTCGTGACGGTCGCCGATGGCTTTCCCGTTCGCGACATGAAGTATGAATCGGCCTATAGGTGCACTGATAGTGCAGGCGGGTACATGTACGTGCAACACAAGGGATATGTACATGAAGAGTAAAGGGGAAGTTGACTATAATTATTGTACAGCAGTGTGGTATGTGTCCGAGCACTCAACATACACACTCAATATGAAATCCTATGCTTGTGCAGAGATCTCTACGCTATGCGGCATACAGGCAGTACACATTGTATGTACATGGAAAGCTGGGCAAGCACGTTCGTTGTCGAATTCCAGCCTGCGTTGTCAACACCATCAGGCAAAGATATCCTAATCCTGCAGGTGAGAGAGTAACGGATACACAGAATAGATACTCCACTTGCATTACTTATGCTTACTAGGAACACATTTTTCCCAGAAAGCATCTGGGCGCAAGAATCTCTCCGTGTGCGGGCGTCTGTCTTTATTATTATCAACTTGGGCTGTTTTCATTTCTTGTTCTCACATCAGGTGTTCCTTATCAAGGTTTCAATGAGGCAAGTGAAGACATTGCACAGTGGCCAGAAAACTAATACATCCCGTAAGTACTGATGACTAATAGGAATGATGTTCATTCACTGCAAGGTATGATTTTTGAAGTGTATTGTATGTCCATTTTGCATCTACAATTTTAAACCGATGTAGTGACAGCATATACAGGCAGTATTGCTCACCTTAGGCTTTTTTCTTTTCCAATCTAGATGTCAACTTTGCCACCACCTCAGCCTTCTCAGGAGGGTTCCGCCTGGAAATCGGCAGGGAGACGCGCTTCTCCAAGGCAGGGACATCAAGCTCGCCATGTGCAACCGCCACAACATCACACATGAGTTTGTCCACGTACGCATAGCTCTTTCTGTCATATATCTTTTTGGCCACGTAATCTCCTTTGTGCCTTGAGAATTGAACCTTGTACCTTCCTTCCCCGGTCTTTTTGGCTTTGCTATGGTGACGGTTGACATTGAAGTTGTGGTCAAGTGCCGCGAGCTGTGTGCGTCCAATCATGCCCAGAATTGAGAAGTGAATGCGTTTGGGAATGTACTTGGTCATGACGCTATGATATACCTGCATGGGAAAGAGAATGTGGAGAAAACATACTTGCTTTAGAATACACTGCTGTATGAGGTAATTGGCTGGCAGTACCCAAACTGGAGTGAGACCAAGCAAGCTTGATCAAGGAACACACAGTAACAATAGACTGAAAGTGATAATTATACAATTATGTTGAAACCTCTCACCTCCAAACTTCCGGTGTGGCAAAATTTGGTCAACTTGTCCATGTCTTTGAGGAGTTTCTTGTCCAAAAGGATGCCTTTCAATGCTTTGTAAGGTTCTGAATCTATGCACAAAGGAGTAGCCAGAGGATACAAATATAGAATGCAGAACCTCTGGTGATAGTATAACAGCTTCATGATAGTCAATGATAGCAGCCTGACACGTCAACACAACAGTAAACAGTTTTAAAAAACGCGTCTGCACTGCGCTAAAGCAATACACTTGGACAGGGCAGCGTCCCATGGGCCATGGCAGGTAAACACATGTAAGAAATTCTGCTGTGAAATTACCTACCAGCTTTGATCCATTTGATGGCTCGTTCGTCTTCGCCGCTCAATGCAGAATGTGCACAAGTGCTGCACAGCTGCCCTCCCGTCCATGCGTGGGTGTTGCAGACGTGGTACAGCACTGACTGCCAACGTTCTTTCAGCAAGTCGACACTGCCGTCACAGTTACTACAACACCACCAGAAGTGGCTAATTATGGCGGGAATCCAAGCCAATAGCGGAGCATGGCTCTTGCGATGGCAAGCAGACCGCAGCTTGCTGGCCACATTCTTGGCAAAGTGCCACACATCAAATTGGTGGCATATACCAGGGTACTGGTCGCGGATAGTTGCCTTGATGGACGGGCTTCTGTCCGTCACGACGACATCGACAGCCAGGGCTTCCTTGCAGCGATCAAGAACCCTGATAAATCCGGCCTTCTCCATTGCTACAGAGCTGTTAGTCTCTGTGCACTCCACCACTTCGAAATCGACTAGCAGGTTAGTCTCGGCATCCAGGAAGGTGTATGTGCCAAATTTTGCGGAATAGCCAGGGCTATCGCATCGCCCGTCGCCGCACAACACAAGTTTGCGACCTAGAAGAGAAGGAACACAGATCCATAGTACAGATACACAGTCACCCTCCCGAATGTCTACCAGAATTTGGCACCACCCAAATAACTGTATTATTACTTGGAGCAAAACTAATAACTACTTGATTACATTACATTACATTGTACACGCAGCCTACCTTGTAACAGGTTCCAGACACGCATTTTCTCCCTGGTCCAAGCGGCTCGTATGACGGGGAGAATGGTCGACTTCTGGTGGCGGAAGAACAGGCTATGCCCAATGAAGGCCAGTTTGAGAAATTTCGCGAACGACGCAAACTTCTCGTAGCAGCCACCACTAAAGATGATTGCAGCTGCGATTAGGAGATTAGCTGAACATAGAAAAGAAATAAGTAAAAGCAGTGATTGGAGCCGATATGTCAGGGACTTGAGGGACATGTTCTCTGAAACAGAAAAGTGAGGTTGAAATTTGTAGCCATCTAAACCATAAACCACTGCGTGAACGTAAGAACCATTCCATGCACTTACCGATAGGCTGTTGGCGCTTCACTAACTCTTGAGAGTGCCAAGTCTGTGTGCAACCGTTCGCGCAGGTGGTATGGACGGTTAGCATAGAGCCATGCACAGCTTCCTTCTTCTCTAGAATTTGGGAGCCACATGCAAGGCAGCGACATAGCAGTCGATTTAACGATGACTTCGACACTAGGTACATCTCACTAGTGCCGTCGTCCATGGGGTCGTCATCATCATCATCCTCATCATCATCCTCATCATAAGACTCAGTATCACTGAGCGTGGAGTCACTCTCACCAGATGCAGTAGATGGGCTGATGCAAAGATGGGGATACATAGCCGGCTTTGTTGGAGTCTTCTGCACGTCTGCCCTAGAAGACATACATACGCAGACAGAGATACAAGTCGCGGATTGGATGGATGATATTACTCCCCGACAGTTTTGCCCAAGACAAATCATGGTAGCTTCAGAACATCGCGTTCTTATTGCACTGCAAGTCACGACTTCTAAAATGTTTCAGCCTAAAGCCTAAAGCGTACATGGCAGTCACCTTTAGAGCCACAAACAGATACAACAATATTCCACTCCTGTCCCTTACTTCGCAGGAGACGGTTGCATGAATTTCGGTGTAGCCGGTGATAGAGCTTCTAGCCTGTCCACGTGTCTGCAGCATGGGAGTGTGCACAGGAAATAGAAAGTACACTAAGGACGACAGTTTTCCTACCCTGATAGTTGTTCTCAATTACGTTGGGACTATTATCGCTATTCAGATTCTAGCAACTGTACTGAGTGGTACGATATTCATGCAACCACGCCTAAAACAGTAACCGCTATAGACAGAGATATGCACACAATCAACTTACTCTGGTTCAGTTTGGCAGGATTGGTCAGACATTTCCTTGTGCATGCTGCCTGCGCATCGCAAGCAAACATGTCTGTACCCTTCGTACTTGCTCGGGGGGTCGTGTGTTTGTGTTGCAGTTGATGAGAACGAAGGGTTTACAGTTTGCGTACCAACGTTAGTGGGAGTACATGTACATGGCTCATCAACCTCGACCTCAGGTTCATCGACCTCAGCTGCAATAACTGTTGGAGTTGATGGCAATGCAATCTGAGGATATACAGGCAACATTGATGAGAACGAACAAACAGTAGAGTCGCAGCATGAGGGACTACATCCAACATCAGACCCAGAAAATTTCAAAAGTTGCATGGCACGTACCTCCTGCTTACTCAGTTGCAGTTTGTTGAATTTCCGCTTCGCTGGAGGCTCACGGTCCGGAAAAACTGAGGGCACTGCTCCATGGGTGAGTGTCTTCCTGGACGGAGTATTCATCAACTCGGCTCTCAAGTCCCTCTGTATCGCGAAATCCTCTTTGCAGAAATGCAGGGAACAAACGTAGCTAGTGCTGCGAAAATCCGCTGGCAAGTTCTCCCGACGTATAGCAACATCCCAGCGCTTTGCCAGGTCGTCATGCTTGGGAAATCTGTGAAAACTAACCCCAGGAGGATGATTTGCTCTACTGGAACAACCGACCACACAACAATTCGGCATCACGGTAGTTCAGGTGAAATGGCAAACTTTCCTAAGCAGGAAGGGAAGTTGCACATGACAAAAAGAAAGTGCGATCCCAAACCCTGCTAGTTTCGCACTTTGCCACAATGACGTCACAATACATTGGTATAGGGGCGTGTCTAAAATTGAAATATCTCAAGAACGCTTCGTCGTAGAGGCGTCGGACCAAGACCATTCGACTCAGCGCCCGAAACTCTACAGGCTATCAAATTTTCATTTTTTCGTGGAGTTCCCCTTTAAGTCCCCTTTGCGTGCTGAGTACGAGTTAACTCGCACTTTATGCATGACCTGATCCACTACGTACGAGTTAACTCGCCAAAAGTTCGCGCGCTGTATCGCAGTGCATAGACCAGTGTACAAACTTTCGTAACTTCGTCAAACATAAACGCATCGCGACAATCAATACACCGTTGGAAAGATCTTCACCTCATCTTTCCGGGGATATAAAGTTCTTCGCGATAGGATAAGAATTCATTGAGCGGCGACAAGATGAACACGGAAATCACGGCCCAGAGTGAACGCGCGCTGTATCGCAGTGCATAGACCAGTGTACAAACTTTCGTAACTTCGTCAAACATAAACGCATCGCGACAATCAATACACCGTTGGAAAGATCTTCACCTCATCTTTCCGGGGGTATAAAGTTCTTCGCGATAGGATAAGAATTCATTGAGCGGCGACAAGATGAACACGGAAATCACGGCCCAGAGTGAACGCGCGCTGTATCGCAGTGCATAGACCAGTGTACAAACTTTCGTAACTTCGTCAAACATAAACGCATCGCGACAATCAATACACCGTTGGAAAGATCTTCACCTCATCTTTCCGGGGGTATAAAGTTCTTCGCGATAGGATAAGAATTCATTGAGCGGCGACAAGATGAACACGGAAATCACGGCCCCGAGTGAACGCGAATTTTTTTGTTCATAACTTCTTTTTGTTGCAGAGCGTGCCAGGGGATTTCCCTTTTGGCACGGCGCATGCGTGATGGACATCAAATGAAGCGCTTGGATCTGAGCTTTGCAGCGCAGTTTGAATTGTGAAAATCTGTTGAATTTGGGCAAGAAGCCGAACAAGAATGTGAAATTGAGTTGTTGTGCCGTTCCGAGGCACGGTGGAGTAATTCGGAGAGGACCTGGATGTGGCCCTGATGTGTCTATGGAGCTGAGAGCTGCCAGGATGGATTCGCTTGGTCCTGATCTTTCCAACGAGCCCAGGACGATGGAAATCCATCAAGGTTGAGTAAAATCAGAATAAATTTCGTTCGGAGCTGTGAGTGCATACTCCACCAAGAGAGTCAGTGCGCTGTACGGCCAGTGGATTGGAGAAAAGGCGCTCAGCATGCAAAGGGTTAAGTCATCACTGAGCTTGAGAAGGTAGTAACGGACCTTCTTGCGCAGCTTGATGTCATTCCAAGCGGCCTTGACCTCGTCGGAAACTGCTACACCGGATGCCATGATGAACGCTTTCTCCACTTAGCACTCCCCTCCCCACCCCCCACCCCCACCCACCTCCCCTCCCCTATCCCAGGAGTCAAAATCCAATGTCATTGTATTGTAGTCAGTATGGTGCACATTGGAATGACTTTATTTCGAAAATGCCTTTCTACTCATCTCATTCTCTCATATGCTTTACTCCGTGTGTTGTCCATGCATCATGACCTGGAGTGTTGAACTATGAATGTTTAGACCACTCCTTCATACAGCACTGTGTGTGCACCTACGTATGTGTGTGTGTGTGTGTGTGTGTGTGTGTGTGTGTGTGTGTGTGTGTGTGTGTGTATGCCTTCACCTGCAACTCTGCTTATCCGCCTGCACAATGCTGTTGCTGTTGCACCTGATGTTGCTGTGGCTATTATTGCTGTTGATGCTGTTGCTAACTCGGTGACTTCTTTCTCCTGTTGTTGTTGCTGCAGCTGCTGTTTCTGCGGCTGTTATCGCTGCCTTTGTTGTTGTTGCTGCTGTTTCTGTGGCTGTTATCGCTGCCTTTGTTGTTGTTGCTGCTGTTTCTGCGGCTGTTATCGCTGCCTTTGTTGTTGTTGTTGCTGCTGTTTCTGCGGCTGTTATCGCTGCCTTTGTTGTTGTTGCTGCTGCTGTTTCTGCGGCTGTTATCGCTGCCTTTGTTGTTGTTGCTGCTGTTTCTGCGGCTGTTATCGCTGCCTTTGTTGTTGTTGTTGCTGCTGTTTCTGCGGCTGTTATCGCTGCCTTTGTTGTTGTTGCTGCTGGTTCTGCGGCTGTTACTGTGCATGCCATGGCTCATGTTTCTGCAGGAGCTGTTGTTATGGTTACCTGTGTTGTGGATGATGAGGTTGCTGGTGTAGGAGACCTGAACATTACTGGCTACTGTTCATTACTAGAAGGTAAGGTTTTCTGATGGTGTGTGTATGTCTATACAGAACTGCTCTTGTCAACCACTACCAGCACAATATACTGTAGTGTCACGTAGAAAGGCATGACCTGTATAGAAGTGTCATGACTGGAATAGAAGCTGATTTTCCAAAGCTCAGTCATGGCACAGAATCCTGATTTGAATGTAATCACATGTACTAGCTCACTACATGTGTGCCAATGTATGCTGTACACTGGACATTGATGATGTTCACATGTACAACTGCATGGCTTCAATAGAAGCATAACTTGAATAGAAGCACGGTTTCCACCCCGGCTTATACGGCTTATGTAGAGTAGTGCTGAATGAAATCCAGTCACTTCACTCAAGTACACGCCTGCTGTTGTGCAGTCATAGACCTGTGGACACTGAGCTGCGGTATGATGCAAGGCGTGAACTAGAGTCACTCTATTGGATTTCATTGAGTAGCACTGTACACACATTAGCAACACTATACACACATTAGCAACACTGTACACACATTAGCAACACTGTACACACATTAGCAACACTGTACACACATTAGCAACACTGTACACACATTAGCAACACTGTACTACTCCCAGCTGTATATGTATAGACAATGTACACTGGACACTCTGCCCACGTAACTGCATGTGCCTGCAGTACTCCACATGTCATGTACAATACTCCCAACCGGTTTACAAGTGATCCCGTGTTCTGTTTTCAAACGGGTCCAAGTACCCCTCCCCCTCCCCGGTAAGGAAATTTTTAAGGAAACAATTAAAGGAGTACGGTATTCGTTAGCCTTGAGATTGCGCACAACGTACAGACTTTTTCGTATTGGGTCGATGCTAGCGCTGCGGGTACGAAGAGAGTGAAGACAGGGAGTAGTATGTACAATGTACTGCATAGGACGGTGGGGGTGGGTGGATAAGTCTCACAACCACTGGTACAAGTGACGAGAAACGTCATTAGCTGCATCAATGTACCCCATGTACCTGGCCACCAGTTCCCAGTTGACTGTGGGCTGCAGCGCTGCATCTGCCGCTAGGGTTTACCGGGTGTTAGCGGCCGTCATGAGTTCCATTCGGGAACGGACACGATAATTTACTTATTTACTTATTCCATATGACGAAAAATAGTTTCGTAGATCTGATCTCTTTCGGTCGCGTTTGGACGAATTTTCGCGGCAACTTTCGTTTCTCGAACCCGGACGGGCATAGTCTTACGAATTTTTGTTGTGCACAACCCCACTACTGTCGGGTACCAGAGAACAGGAAGTGTACTAGCTGAGACCGGTGCTGAGACCGGTGCTATCTTTCAACTACTGCTATCCATCCATACACAGTCCAATCATCATGTATACATCGGTATGCCCTTCTTGCTGAGATGCAGGAAATGCAGAAATTAATGTTTGTTCTTTGTAACCTGCCAATGATGTCATCTTTTAAAAACAATCATACAAACTGATGCTGGTAGTTCCTGCTATGTAATCATGATTTCAAGTATCAAGTCACCTGGTCGGTGATGATGTAATACGATGATGTCATTGTTTTGTTGTCTTCTGTATGATTGTGTTGAATGCAGAATGCAGAGGATTGTGAAGATGTACATTGTACATGTCTATCTGTTCAGACAGTACACAAGGTGAATGAAGATGGAACATATCCATTTCATCAAAATTGTTCTCTTCTCAATTGCTTTATTTTGATCTTGGAACTGCTACCTTCCTTGTTGGAGAAGTTGCCCCCCCCCCCTTATCCCCTCCCCCTTATCACCTCTCCCCCTTATCACCCCTCCCCTCCCCCTTTTCACCCCTCCCCTCCCCCTTTTCACCCCTCCCCTCCTCATATCACCCCTCCCCCTTATCACCCCCTCCCCTTTATCACCCCTCCCCCTTATCACCCCTCCCCCTTATCACCCCCTCCCCCTATCACCCCTCCCACCCCCTATCACTCCTCCCCCTCCCCCTTATCACCCCTCCCCCTTTATCCTTCCCCAACCACACATATCATTGTGTATTTTCAATTTTACACACAGCTAGGCCAGGCAAGTTTTCATGGTATTTTTTTGCGATAATATCTGGTTGTACGAAGTAGTGGTTGCGACTTCTTAATATCTGGTTGTGACAACTTTAATTTCACTGGAGAAATGAAAAGACCATGGTTTACCGGTACTTGCTCTGTGTGTTTGTTCATGATCACATTCATACACAAATACTCGTCTGCGTATCCATGTTGCACTATTATAACTACTGGCCTCGTTTTTGCTGCTGTCCATGCAATGGACTACATAAAATTATTATTTTCCACTCCATTCTGCACCCGTTTTCTTCCTACTGTTTCCCATAACTCAGGTGATAATATGTTATTACCAGTGATGTGTTTGACTACTTCTCTTGCCACATATAGCTGATACTAGTGATAGTAAAACTGGATGCTGTTCTCCAATTCATGAATGTACAGTCAGACCTCGCATAAACGCACACATCCGTTTCACACAAAAAAATCCGGATAGGCGAGGGAACTGGATAATCAAACAACCATGTACATACTGTATGTATGCATGACATACATGTATGCTGAAAAATCGGTAATCAACAATTTTCGTCCGGATGGCGAGGTATCCGGATAAAAGAGGACCGGATAAACGAGATCTGACTGTATATTATAATATTAAACTGAGTACGGTACTCGAGTACTTGTGTAGTTCAATATCTCCACACTGTAGACTGGTTTGTGTACTGGCACACTGCATTGTTCAGTGGACAGTGTAGCGTCATGCTGGTCACGTGACCTCTGTGCTGTTAAAGCTGATTCATACCTCATTTCGCGTACTGGAAAATCATCGCGCAATAGGGCTTGAAAGTGCT